CATGTCTTAGAAAATCGGTTTGGTGGGGAAATTCGAAACTTGGCAGAAGGGTAGATCAGCAATGGTGGAAAACATTGTCCTTGATGTTTAATGAGAGAAATTAGCAGTAAAAATGATCAGTCCATTCGAGTGCGCTTAATATTGATATAAAGAGATGACCTCGACTCGGTTACCCCGGCACAATGTAAGTCAATTATTTTTCGGTTTTAAGAAAAGTAAACCAAAGACTTCCCTCAACACTATGTATCTATAATAATTACACCAGGAATATATATATTTTTAACACTTGAAGGTTGTACCATATTGTTGAAGCAAAGGATATTTCTCTGTAATACCTATAAGCTTACATTAAGTTTTCATAAATAGCAAAAAAAATTAATAAGATTTACATACAACTCCAAACATGTACATCTGTTATGCATGAAGCAATTTCATATCGTTCCATATCAATAGTTAGTGCGAATGGAGTCAAACATGTACAGTGAAACTTGTATAATGTAAGCGGACACCGCAGAGAATGGTGTAGTGCCCACTTAATACAAAGTTTCTTCCTACTACATACAGGTTTCAATAGAAAATGTCATATGAGGCAGACCTGCCAACTCTCACAATTCTGCCGTGAGTCTCATGATTTTTTAACTTTTCTCACGGTCTCACGACAAAACTCCCAATCTCATGGTTTTCTGGGAAATATTCTCTATTGAAATATTACCTTGTTGAATAAAAACATAAATTTTGTGGGGAAATTCTTGTGCCTGGATAAGCTTTGACTATTTTAGCCATGAAGTTGTCTTAGCCCAAAGAAATGACTCTGCTGTATGTTTCGTCACAGTGATAACCTATTTTCTGGCCTCTTCAAGTCATCAAAGAAAAAGCGGCATCTAATTTGTTACATAAGGGACCACACTAAAGCAAGGTTATATTAAAATAAACAGTTGATTCCACTAATGGAAAATGGGTAGTTTAATTTTGATCGGGAAAAAATAGAATCTCACTACTTTTGGTAGAGTCTACAGATTTTCCTTATTAGGGGTTGGCAGGTCTGTATGAGGAGCTAAGTACCATTCAAATAAAAGGCGGAAACATTTGGAATACTTCCAGAGATATGATGATATACATTTGCATTAATATCTTTATTTGTGTGGAGCAATTAATTAAACCTAGATTGTACCTCAAATTTTAAGATATCAAATGAGTGAAACAAGCTTTATACAAACAAAAATGAAATGAGAAAGTACTGTAACTCATTTATATAATTTACAGAAGTCCCCTGGTGACACCCGCCAAGTGCTGATAGGGCAAGACTCCAAATCTCATGGTTTTCTGGGAAAGCAAAAGGCATCTTAAAATAACAAAAGGCACATAGGGCTCAGCCGAATGGTACCATAATGACATCAACACGTATGGAAACAGGCCTTTTCTCCGAAACTCGCCCCATTCCCCTATGGCTATTTTTATTTGCGTTTACCCTACCTCACCTCCCCTCCCCATACCTGATGAAACAAGGCTTTCAACAGTTTGTTGAGATAGGATGCTTTTTGTTTTAAAGGATGAGCTCACCATATTTTATTATCGTAGAGATGGGGGTAAGCTAAGTTAACAATAATAGACAGATTATTATAGGTGGGTTACTCATTTTTACAGCTATCCCTGGAAGATGAAATGGAAGTAAGGAGCTGACTGGCAGCCACTGAGATTGAGCTGAGGAGAAAGGAAATTGAAAGAGAAGAGAAAGAGTTGAAAAGAAAAGAAGAAAGGTTAAAACAAAAAGCAAAAGAAATTAAAAACACAGTAATAGAGGCGAAGCGGGTAGCTACCCAACTGCAACGAATGGCAGGGCAGCTAGACTGCTTGGCTAACCAAATTCTAGAAGAGACCAAAAATTAAAGAAGAAGTAAAAGAAAAACACCAGTGTAAGAAAATTTTATTGATAACAAACCGTTTCTTTTAATCAAAGTCAATGTGCAAAGTTTTTAAATGTAAACAAGTCTAAGTCAGACCTGTTATGCAAGAAAGAAAACACATTTGTTCAGTATATAAAAAATAAAAGGAAACTGGTTCTTCTAATTTCTTGTATCCTGTATGGTCTCTTCTTGCTCGATGGAATCCACTCCATCTAACATCCTCCACTTCCCACACTGCACGACTCTCTTCGTGGAATCTATTATACTAGATCTTTACAGACATCCAGTAAGCAGCACCTCCTCCATCATACACTGCTTGTTTTTTCTCATCATCTACAGAGTATTCCCAACTAAGGAAGCACCTAATTATAAAATCAGTCAGATAAAGAGAGATTATTTATATATACAAAAGTCAAAACAAAATAAATAAGGGCAATATTATCACTTAAAATCCCTAATTATTTGTTAAGCATCTCTTAAATCAGATGTTATAATGGTTTTCCTCACCTACTTCCTAAACGTCACATTAATATAGGTGAGTTAAACCACAAAC